CACTTAATGTTCCATTACTACTAGATTACCATTAACAAGGATTCTCCCGCGGACAGACCGAGTTGATACAGGTTTTTCATACGCCTCGTGCAGCTGACCTTGTTTCCGCGCATCTATACGCTTCCCCGTACGCGCGTAAACGTTTTAATTGCTTTTCACTCGAACCCCGTCTCGCTGTGCCATTGAAATCTCGAAAGTAGGTTGTTGCGTTTACGGTAAATTTCATTACCTTTCTCACAGTACAAACACTTTAAACGCGTCTACAAAAAGACGGTTGCACGTTCGTCGTTTCCATTCGAGCATCGAATGAAATCGTTTTCACGATCACGAAATCGAATTCGAGATCCGATAGTCTGAATTTTTTACCAGATAATAAATGTAGCAAAACAGTGTACATTATCATACGCGTCGGATCCGAGGGGGTTGAAACCGAACATTAATTACGTGAATTCTACGAGTTTATGGTAAATTATCCAAGGCATTTCTGATCCGCAGAAAAAGATCTGCACAGCGATCAATGAGTCGCGGGCAAATCGATGAACGATTGGAATTCACGCTCGTTGGGAAACTTTCGATCTCTTTTCTTCGATTTCTTGGGGAGTGCGGATCGCCGCCTCCTCCCTCTCCCACGCCGACGAATTCAACGCGCTGCTTAGCGTGTAATTTATTGAAATCGTATGGAAACAGATCGCGCGGACTTTCTTTCACGCGGAGTCGCCGCTATCGAAGGTCATTGTTTTCACCTGACGGAAACCGAGATCCCCCTTCGATTGACGCGATCGACGAGATCGGATGTCTCGCACGCTTTCTTCCAGTTCCTTTCTTTTCCCGCGACCGGCCCCTTTGTTATCGTCGAATCTCGCGCTTCCCGTCTTTACGAGACGGAAAGTTCAACAGCATTTTCACGTCGAGGACAATTGAACCCCTGAATTCCGAAACAGCGCCAGTCGACCGATCAACGTTTCACTTTCGTTCGTTCGTTATCTATTTTACGGATTCTTGCTGCGAGTGTTGGCTACAGATTCAATGATTTTATGCTAGTGGTATGGGATGAATGAAATTTTGTTATTCTGGAATATATGTGAGATAACGTGGTGATATAATCCACTGAATTAGAATCAGGTTGTTTCTCTGGAACACGTGTTGAATGATACGATAATGAAATTAATTATGTTAAAATAAAGTTTCAGTCGAAGCGGAGCGTTGGTGTAGATAAAAAGAGAAAATACGAAAATACAAATTGCTGCTGTTGTAAGTATAGATATCTCTAGAGGATGTCTATAATTAACAGTAACTAGAGCAGTAAGAAGCGATAGAAAATTAACTGCAATCTACACTTATTCTATTAAAATGTTCCTTCGATACGCAATGCAGCGCCTGTACGTATGCAAATTAGAATCTACAAGGTGCCCTGTTACTGATACAACTGGAATGATCGAATCAGATGAAAATATACAATGTTTTACCTTAGACTTTGTTTCCGAGATAATCGAGTTCGAAAGTTTCTGTGACACGCACGCATTAGCATTTACAAGAAATAGAAACGGTAAGTCATGCGTGAACAGATATCTGTTCGATAGCATGGCTGACAAATCTTCAAACGCGATTATCTCGGAAACGAAATGTAACTCGAACAAATTTTATCGTGTGTTTCATTCACTCTTTAATATAATACAGAACTTCTCAGTTAATTGCAATTTATTTTTTTTCCAGTCGGTGTTTATCTGGCAGCCATATTTGACGCCACTCGAGCGTAAAAAGTTTATTAAATAAGGATCTTAAGATGCTCGAGAGGTATATACATGTATCCTCAAATTTCTATCACTTTTATCGTCATTACGTAAGTGTCCAGTCAGATAACTGTTTTATCTGCTATTTTGTTTAGTCAAGAGCCGAAGATTCGCTTCGTAGATGTCGAGTCTCGATTTTCGAAGAGGCAAACGGCACAGGCGCAGCGTTGCGCGAAGTATAAAATCATTGAAAAATCGCATTCCTCGATAGAATTTTTCATTGAAAAGGATCGGGTATCCTTGAGAATTCCATCTTGCATTGCTATCGAACAATTCCTGTGGCAAACTTTTTCGAAGCTGTCCCCCTGCGTGGAACAAGTTCCGCCCACGCGTTGCGTTCGGTACCCTTCGTTCAAGGGTCTGAAGCTTCAATGAGCAACGCACCGAATGTTTCGATCCTGCGAGGAAAACCAAGATTGCCGAAGAGAATTCGATTCTTTCCAATCGCGGAACCGGTTTTCCGCTAAGCGAATGAATCGGGATCATGAAGTTTCAACGAGAAAACGCGTTCGCAGTTTCGCGTTACAATGCTCCTTAACTCTGGATAACTACACGCATTATTTGATAATTGTTTAGCTTGATTTCGAACGGTATCTTAATTATCTATTTTCAAACTTCTAATTTCCAACGTCTAAATGAACGAATATTTTAGCGAAATATTCTATACATCTATTTCTTATCGGAAAGAATAAACCTCGTTCCTCGATGATACAAACGCAAAATCGAAAGCGTAGAAAGTTCAAGCGCCAACGAAACAAACGTAGAATCGAAAGCGTGGAGAGTTCAAGTGTCCAAAATCCATCAAACCTCGATACTTCCTTCCATTCGAATAGCCACCATTTTGTAATCTGGCACAGTTTCGAACGTTTATCGATGTAAATACATGCTAGCATGGATTTCAATGAAGTTCGGGAAGGTCGTTTCGACCGATCGCTGGGAAAATCGGTGCAGTCGTGTCGGTCCCGATCAAACGACAGATATTCGGACGTGTGGACGCGTAAGAAATACTTTCACCGGCGGTCAGATCCGCGGGAGAAAGTGTGCTTCGCCCTCCGTCACGCCCCTGTAATATGCAAATGACCGGTTGAAACGAGAATGAGAGAGGAAACGGGGCGAAGAGCACGATTAAACGGAAGATGAGCCGGTGTCCGATTATCGTACCGCCTCGTTATGCGAGAGAATTCGTCCAGACGTGCCGTGTATATATTTGGTAATCGGTACTGTCTCGGGTGAACGACCTTCACCTGAATGAAGACACGATGCACCTTTTCCATTGATAAAATCGTTCGTTTAACACCAGGTTCGAGAGCAGGATCAACAGGATCAACGAGGACTCGCTTAGTACTCATTTAACACTTTCATTGCCGCGTCAACCGAATTCAGGAGACGCCATTTTTACGGAGACTCTCCGTGCGTCTAATAAAGATTTTCTTTTGTGGAACATGAGGATTTCGAGCAAGATGCATGTCGAGAAGATTTTTGAGTTGAACATAATGATACCGATTCTCCGGAGAATGGATTGTTGCACTTTTCTATTCCCCATTTGATATTAGAAGTAAATGAAATGGACTTTCTGAAATTCTGTAGATTTCAATTGATTTAGAATTCAGTTTGCGTACTGTTGAACCAGTTTCTTCAGCAATTTCTTTGAGAAGCATCTGTTATCTGCGTCAACGAAGCATCTGAGATTAGGAATGGGTAGTTTCGACTGGTGGTTTTAGTGTCAAAGATCGGTCCGGAGATTTTGAAATCGATTGAAGAAAGAACTTTCTCCAAGAAAGTCGGTCCTTTTTTCCGTTTGCAAAAAAATTATGCAACACCGGACTGGTTTCGCGTGAATAAAGACATTCTCCTCTCGTGTCCCGCGGGTCTAATACAGCGGCACAGGGAGCGTAATAATCTTTCGCGAACACTTCAAGGACAATCGTGTCTATTACTTTCTCAGATAACAGGCAAGAATGTAAACTGGACGAAATTATTCTTTGTAATAATTCTAATGGAAACTTTTCGATTGTGTTCAACGCGTAGCTTCGTTGCAACATTCAAGAGTAGAAATCGAAAGTTAATTGATGCGCTCTAAGCTGCACAGTGTCTTCATCTTTCGCTTGTTTCTAAATTAATTGATAGTATCAACGTGAAACGCGTCGAGAAGAGTTTGTCGATTGGATGTAATTAGCTGCGCCTGTTTAACGAATTGATTTATTTGTATTGATTCCCACATTGAACGTGGAATTCGATTAAATTTCACATTAATTCTTGCAGAATTTGTTCACCGAGTTGCGTTTTCACTTGCAAATGCTCGAACGTGTTTACAATCGGCAACAGATGGTTGCATAACGCGCGCATACCCAGATACCAAATATTAGACTATTGAAACAAGTAGTTCAGGGAACCAGTATGGATTAATATGCACACGTACAGGTGCAAACGTTCTGTTTTTACGTTTGCACTTCCTGGTTTCGAACGGGTATATACCGCTTTACAGATAAGATGGCGACCTCCGGAATGTAGGTAATTAGACGGAGTATCAAATTGGCGAATAATATTTATGTAGTTAGTAACTGTTTAATATATATTTAAGAGTCGTTTGCGTAAAGTATTGATCGTCAATCCGCGCAGTTTCGCGAACGTAGACTCGAATTAAATTGATAATGTATCAGTTATCACTTTATGCAATGATATTGTGAAAAATAGTCGAGTGTAAACATGATAAGCGTTACGAAAGTTATGGCCATTTATGGAATGATTATTGATGATTCTGTTTTGATTACAATTATTTCATTAAATTAAAAATATTTTATGTAATATGAAAACGAAAACGAGGAGTGAAGTAACGAGAGGATTCGGGAAATCTACGGAAATATATCGTACACTTCGAACATTGTAATGATAAATACAATTTTTTATCTGGTAGTTTATACATATATTTTTACCTAAAGTTGATCACGATTTTACATTCATCTCCCTTAACACGTAAAAATACTTTTTATTAAAATAGAAAAGATCAGTCGTTATTCAGTCCATGCTTTCGATGCACCGTCGATCCACGACGTGCCGAAAGTAATCACTGGAAACAATAATTGAGTGCTTTATACAACTTCGTAGTAGGTACGTAATCTATTCATCATCGACAGCGAGATGCGAGACAATAAATGCTCTGTGATAACCATTTAATAGGACCATACTTTGCTATCTGTCTGTACATATTTCAATAAATAATATTATGGAAATGAAACCTTTTTTTTTTGTTAGTAATCGTATTTGTCATGATAGACAACAGCAGAAAATTCAAGTAAGCTGACTTGAATTATTTTTTTTAATAAATACTTAAGAGAACAAAGGTATCGGTATTGTCTATCGGTTGCTCGACGCGTCATTTGAGACTAGAAAATATTTTACTTAAATAATTTAAGAATGTATATGTATTGTAAGATTTCGGCAGTGTATCAAAGCAGACACATTGTGATAGTATGATCTACAGTTGTGATGATTCCGCAATTTGAAACACGTTAACAATATGTTGCATTATTATATTATTTTAGTCGCGCATCAACTTTGGTCACGTGGTCTCGGATACTTTTCGAGATCGAATGGTTTTCTTATGCTTTACTGGTTCTGTCGCACTGTCGTTGTCTGACATCGAGGAATCCCTTAATGTTTTTCTACCACGCCCTACATTTTTCTCCTCATTCTCGGACCCAACAGACTCCCTGTTCGACTTTCGCCTTTGACGTTGTGGAATTTGACTTTGAACCTCCATTGCTTCGCGGAGATGCTTCCGTTTCGCCTCCCATAACATCTCCTGTCTTTGTGCTATTTCAGGATACCTGTTAAGACGAAACGTAACAGTAAAGCAACGTTCTCGCATTAAAGTACCATTTAGTTACCTTTCTATAAAATCTTTAGTAGGTGGAATTATTAACCGCCATCCCTTTTTAGGTTCATGTGTTGCTAAATTCATAAATATTTCTTTAATTTCATCTGGAGGTAATTTGACTACGGACGAAATTGTCTTTCTATCTAAATATTCATGTTCCGTAAACGATAATAACTGAAATTATAAATTTTCATTAATATTTACTGATTTAAAAGGATTATTATAAAATAATTCGTACTAACAATATAATCTCTAGCTCTGCACATAAGGTCAGCAGGAATACCATTATACGAAGATATACTATCTTTTGGGTATATAAGTTCACTATTTACAATCCAATTTCCTTGTACTAAAACAGCCACTTGCTGTAAATATTTTAAAATAGCTGCCGTTTCTTGATCTGGTGATAAAATTGATCGCAAATGTACAAACGATATAACTTTGGCTGCAAAAAAAAAGTATTTAAATTAGTATAGACTGTGTGAAAATTGACAAATATGTAATATAAAACTACTAACCATCTTTAAAAAGAATTCTCATTTGATCTAGAAGAGGTAATGTCCTAATATAATTGAGAGACGTGTTACTGTTAGACATCTCTGCTTTTAAATATGGTTCTTCTTTTACTCTTGGCGCTAATAACTCTAAATATTGTTGATTTGTTAAATTTAAAGTATTCACAGCTTCATCAGGTGCAGAGCAAAACATTTCCAAACGTGTAAGCTGAAAATATATGTATATCCATGATAAAAAATGGGCATGATTGCATTTAATTTATTGAGAGAACTAACTGAAAATTGTTTCAACCTCTGCTTGAGTGCTATTTGTAGGAATATATTTTGTATGAATCCACCTCTCCTCTAAGCTTTTTTGAGTTTGATGCTGAAAAGATTGCTCCTGCATCTTTTTCATAAATTCTGGTTTCTGTCTGGCAAATGTTACATTTACTTGTTTTGGGCCTTCTTCTTCTTCCTCTAAGTCTAGGTATTAAAAATTCAGATGTTTAATTTGTTTTGAATTTATATTATATAGTGTATATTGTTTATACCATCTCCCATATTTTTAGCTTCATCCCTGACGCGTTTATCACTTTTATCAAGGTAATTAAATTGTGGACGCATTTGAACAACTCCTCTTAGAGGTGTTAAATGCAATTCTCCTTCTTGGAAAACTCCAATTGCATAATTGGAACAGTTTGGTAATGCTCGTGAAGAATGCAAGACTGTCTTATCCATGTAATTGCTATGATAAACATAATAGATAATGTAAATAGAATTATAAATTACTTTAATGTCATTTAGTTAAGTACCTGTCAAATGCTTTTTCTTCTTCTTCTTGTTCATTTTTGGCATCACCATCTGCATTAATCGCAATTTGTTCACCTTTACTTTGGTCATAATTAACACTATGTGTATCTATTGCTACTTCTAATAGAACCTCTTGATTCTGTGGTTTTATAGAGGATTTTAAGATTGTTGCATTGTCATAGCCATCTTTAGAAGGCCTAATTGGATATTGAAAAATAAAGAGCTTATCTGCAAGTGCTTTCGAGAGAAACACTGGAATCTAAAAATAATTATATATTTCATTTTTTTCTCTTTTACATTGTAGATATAATTTGCACTTATCTCACTTTTTTTTAATATAAATATTTAACAGAAAACTATATGCTTGCAAATATAACTAAAGCATTTTATAAGATTTACTCAGAAGAATATCTTGAAGTGTCTATCAATTATAAAGTTATATGATAAGTGACATATAAATATGATTTAATCTATTACTATGTCACAGGAATAAAGAGCACACTCATTCATTATAAAAATAAAGAAATATACTAAACATAGGAAAGTATTTCAAACGGTTCAAATACATAACCTTTACAATCCACGTTCCATGAAATAATGTGAAGTGTCAGAATGAAAATGAAAATCGGTTTACAAACCTCTTTAACCACCGGATCACTTTCATTTTCCATGGTATTTGTATTAGACATTTAAACAGTTTTTATTTTCCAGTTATCACTTGTATCTATTCAAGTATGCTTTGATGCAAACACTGATTTTTATACCACGTTCCTAAAGATAATTGAGATGGTTAGTAGATAGATAATATCTGTACTGGTTGGGTAGTAGCACAAGGAAATGTTTGTACAATTTATTTTGTATTGCTATTAATTAATACCTAAGAGTGATATTTTATGGTAGCTACGTGGCAATAATATATATTATTTGATTGTTAATTTAATTTTATATTTATTAGCAAATGTATACTGACAGTATTTTACATTCAAGATACACGATGAACTTAACCACTGCTACCAATGTAAGTGAACATAACAAGTTGTGCTGTCAAGTATATTTATCAGAGTGTATTATAAATTTATATAGTTTTATAAGCTCATTGGTTAACTAAATGGGCACGTTTCGTTTCAGAATAATCTGAAATTATATTTGTAATATTTTTTGCACAATTTAAGGTTCCACTTTATTTATAATGCCCTTTTGTGTGTTATAAATTGTAATTTAAGAAAGTGCATGAATGAAATTTGTTTAATCTCAATCAAAGAAAACAACAAGAATTAACGTTTGTGTAAGTATGAATGCCATAGCATATTCATTTATCATTTTATAATTAAATTGTTAAGTATATTTTAGGTTTTTTTTATTACAGAAAAGTGAACAGTTTAAAATAAATCAACAAAATGACATCAATGTTTGATCAGTATGAACAAGCATCTCAGCGATCAAAACAAGTACATGCACCACCAATTCGTCCTGATATTGTAAGTCTTTCTTTCCTGAATGTCTATTTTTTTAAAGTAATCATAATGATATATTTTTATTTCATTTTTCTTAAGGCAAATATTAGATCATAAGCATGTTATTAAATTTTCAGAGTACAGCAGGATTTATTCAAATGAAACTGCAAGATGATGGACCGATCTTTATAAAGCAAAAAGTTAATTTTCAACCATCTGATAACATTGTACATTTAGTTGTTAATAATAATATAATTGTTATTGCTATGGCTAACAACATTCTCTTACGCATTGATATGAAAAATCCAAATGTACCAGAAGGTAGTGATTTTAATGTTACAATAATATATAGAAGTTATAATTTGATTATATGAAATAATCATTTCAGAGATTGATATATCTAATTATTCTGTGAACATGAAAATGTCAGGGATGTTTCTTGATCCTTTGGGTAATCATTTATTAATAGCTTTGGTTCGAAACAATCCCAAAGACAATCTACCATCTGAATTATTTTATTTACATAAAAAAGCGACAAAATTAAAACAGGTATGACATAAAGTAAATCAATATAATAAGTATAATGTGTTAAATATGATTAAAATTATTCATTACTCAACATTTTTTACTTAGGCAAATAAGTTCAAAGGACATGAAATTACTGCTGTTGGATGGAATTTTTTAAATTCTTCTGAAACCACCACGGGTCCAATTCTCCTAGGAACTGCAAAAGGTCTTATCTTTGAAACAGAAATTGGTATAGAGGGTGATAAAATATTTAATACAAGTTTGGAACAATATTGGCGTCAGGTATAACAAAAAATATAAAATTAATCCTTGATTATATCATTATCAGTATGTATTGTTAACCCATGGTAACAAAAGCATCTCCTCTATATCATTATTCATTATTTCTAAAGCTTCCTAACCGCCTACCCCTTTACGGTGCTAAGGAGATAGAAGAATTGGTGAGTTAGAACTGTCCATATAAGTGCAAACCTGTAAGAATACCTATACCTCTGTGCTGTAGTTCTTTATTGTTCACCTTCACATTATTAGCTTACCAATATTGCATTGTGTCTCACAAAATCATAATGTGTTTATTATATAAATATTATAATATTTATTATATTATAAAGTAAATGTTTAATAGCATATAATAAATTTCTCATTATTGTACATTTGTTTCAATAGGTATTCGATATAGGGGAAAGTAGTAAACCACCAATTACTGGTTTGGAATTCCACAAAGTACCGAACACAGACAAATATATGATTATTGTTACCACTCTTGTACGCATTTACCAGTATATTGGAGAAGTTCAAAACCCAGAAGAGAAACCTTTGTTGCAACAAGTATTTAATAGATATTTGAATGTACAAGGTAAATGGTAAAAAACGTCTCCATCCATTTGAATTGGCATTCATGAATTCAATATTTATAGAAGTAACGTTTTTACAGAAAGTTTTAACGATGTAATAAGTTCTTTACCCTACTCGAAAATGCAATGTTATTACCCATCAGTTGGAGCTATACCAAAGTCATTTGGTTGGCTAACTGAAACTGGTATATGGTATGCACAGGTAAAAAGGATTATATTAATTAGTACAATACAATGCAGTTTTTAAATATTCTAAAGTAATGTGACTGCTTTTAGATCGATCCAAATGTAGAACCAAACAATATATTATTAAATCAACAAATGTTAATGTGTCCTGAAACAAGTCTTATAGGAAACAATACCTCGCAAGTAACAACTGCACCACTGTCATTCGTTTTAACAGAATTTCATGCGTTATTACTTTATACAGATCGTGTTAAAGGCATATCCCTTTTAAATCAGGAATTGATATTTGAAGATATTTATAATGATGTATGTATAATAAGTAAAAAGTAGGCTGATATAGATATATTATATAATTGAAATGTCTTTATTTTTAAAGGCTTTTGGAAAATTGCTTAACATTACGAAAGATTATGTAACTCGTTCTATTTGGGCTTATAGCGAACGAGCAGTTTTTAAATATAAAGTTAATAAGGAAGATAGAAATGTTTGGCAGGTAAATGAATATTCTTCGTGAAGTATTTTTCTGATTATATTATTGCTCATATTTTTTATCCTTGTACAGATATATGTTGACAAAGGTGAATTTGAACTCGCTAAACAATATTGTAAAGATAATCCAGCACATATAGATCAAGTATTAGTGAAACAAGCAGAAGTGCTTTTTAAAAATAAAGAGTATGTTTTATATTTTATCTAATGGCGATTAGCATGTGACTATATATTCAGTTACATACTGTTTACAGATACGAAAAGAGTGCTCTCATTTCCGCGGATACTCATTCATCATTTGAAGAAATATCTTTGAAATTTCTTCAAGAATGGCAAATAGAGGCATTAAAAACATTTCTAAAAAAGGTGGTGCATTGATTACTTTAAACGTTTTGCATTTCAAGTACAGGAAATAATTTGGTTTTTTATATTTAGAAACTCGAAGGATTGAAAGCACAAGATAAAACACAAATAACTATGATTGTTGTGTGGGTAATTGAATTATTTATGAATCAAATGGCTGCATTACGGAAAAGTGATCCGCAATACTTGGAACTTCAGAAGCAATTTGATAGCTTTTTCGCTATGCCGAAAGTCGCGGTATGAAAGATTATTGGGCTGTTACATTAAATGAAATATTATTTTTCTATGTGTATCATTTTCATTTTAGGAATGTATAAAAAGAAATCGCAGTACTATATATGATTTAATGGCAAGTCACGGCGATAAAGAAAATCTTATCCGTTTAACTATAATGCATCACAATTATGAAGAAGTGATACGTCAGCATTTATACAAAAACAATTATTTAGAAGCACTTGAAGTTTTAAAAAGTCAAAATAATAAAGATCTTTTTTATCAGTTTTCTGGTATTCTTTTGCAAGAATTACCACGTCCTACGGTAACTGCTTTGATATCGCAAGGGTTTTCATTAAAACCATCTAAACTCCTTCCAGCTTTAGTCTCTTGCAATAGCGACGAAAAACATGTGAGATATTCAAAGTTTTTATTATTCAAATTATTTCTATATTTTAAAGCTTTAATATCTAAACAGTTTGTGGTATCATAGGCGAAAGAAATAATTAGGTATCTGGAGTTTTGCGTATATAAACTAGGCTGTCAGGAACAGGCAGTTCACAATTTCTTATTGTCACTGTATGTTCGTTATAAAAAAGATGAAGTTATGCGTTATATTAGTTCTCAAGGTAATTTATGGAGTACAGTTTTCAGTGTGAAATATTCTCATGGTGTCATGTTTTATCAAAGTGTTTCACTTGTTTATAGGACAAGATATAAACATGGTACATTATGATGTTCACTATGCATTACGTTTATGCCAAGAAGCTGGTTTAACCGAAGCTTGTGTACAATTGTCCGCTTTGCTGGGACTCTGGACAAGAGCAGTAGACTTAGCTTTGACGATTAGCGTTGATCTTGCAAAACAAATAGCTGCCATGCCTACTGATCACGACGATGAATTAAGAAAAAAATTGTGGTTAAAAATCGGTAACTGTTAACAATTAAATATAAAACCTTTTAGTTGATATCAATTCTCATTTATTTAAATTTTAGCTGAACACGTGGTTCGCGAGAAAGATGATATAAAAGAAGCAATGATATTTTTACAAAATTGTGATTTAGTCAGAATAGAAGATATATTACCATTCTTTTCGGACTTTGTTACTATATATCACTTTAAAGAAGCTATTTGTAACTCATTGCAGGTGAAATAATTTTACATGTTATGTATTATTGTGTACCTTCTTAAATGTATGTATAACAATTATTCTGTATTTTAATTATAAATAACAGGAATATAATCAGCATATCCAAGATCTCAAAGAAGAAATGCAAGAAGCAACGAAAGCAGCTGAACTTATCAGGAAGGATATACAGGAATTTAGAACAAGGTAGTCGGACTAAAAATGATATGACATGTAATATCATAACATAATAAATGTTTCTTTAGGTGTACATTTGTACATGCAAAGGACACATGTGACACTTGTGATGTTCAGTTGCTGTTGCGACCTTTTTATGTATTCCCATGTGGACATAGATTTCATAGTGATTGCCTGGTAGCTGCACTGACACCTATGCTATCAATGGATCAAAGAACAAAGTTAGCTGATCTTCAACGACAACTTACTGCTCTTTCAAATAGACCTGAAGATACTACCTCAATTAGCTCTGTACCTTTATCAAAGAAAGATCAAATTAAGGCTGATATTGATGATTTAGTGGCATCTGAATGTTTATACTGTGGAGAACTTATGATAGAGTAAGTTATTCTAATATTTAAGATCCTGTAATTAGCATTAGGAAGCTAGGAAGAGTTTTACAGGCGCGGCCCTTCTTTCTTCTAGGATTCTATATGTATTACTTTATTTCTGATCTATCATAATGAAACAATAAAATTTACTTTACAGGTCCATAGATAAGCCATTCATTGAAGAGGAAGATTATGAAAGAGTAATGAAAGAATGGGCATAAATAATAAATACCATTTATCTGTAAAATATTTGAACAAATAATAACTCATTTTGTATGCTACACTTATTTATCAAAATTATTATTTGTAACAAACAGGACATGTATCATATCGTTTCAAATGTGTGATAGCTATTTATTTTATATGTATTATAATTTATAAATTTAATATTAAAAATCTTTAAGGTAATATACCATGTAAATTTCACAATTTTTTTCGTGCAGATGCATAAACATGTTGTGTTTAAGATATACATAAGGAATTTAAAAAATTTATTAACCAATAATTTAGTTCATTCCTAATGATAATTCAACCTTCTTATTTCGTTTACTCACGGCTTTGTTACCGTGTATATAATACCGTAACGGTTTATCTGACCATTCTCCATAACCATCTATACCTACTCGAGGGCATTTCACAATTTTGATTTCCATATTCACGTTATCATTTTCAAGCCATAAACCTTTCCAAGAACACATTGAGTATTTACAATGCTTTTTATGAAGTTGAAACGCCATGCACAGCTTTGACGGGCCGTTGCATAATTCATGTGTTTTTAAGTCTTTCAAAGGCTTTTTAGGCACAACTGATGTTCCCTTTGATGTCCGTTGACTAGCCATGCATTCGATACCTTCTAAGGGTTCAACAGCCCTTATCAAAACAGCACATCCTTCACCTAAAATCTTATCAGGAGATTTCTATGTGGTAAAATGTAATATACAAAAGATATAAATTAACAAATATTATAAGCATGCTCTTCAGATTTAACGTCTTTTCGAGTAACACTAGAACTTCCTAATACATAGTATCGCCGTGCTTTTTGCACACCATATTTCGTGTCGATACTAGGATGTGCTGCTACAATAGTAGTGAACTTTATGTAAGGATCATTCTCTATCCATAACTCCTTAGATTTGTAAATTTGTTTTTCATTTAAATTATCTTCGTTAATATCGAAAGCAGCACAAATCTTGAATGGACTGTTACAAAGCTCATATTGTTTGATACATGAAACAATTTTCTTAATTTTTTTCTCTTTTCTGTTGTTTTCGAATTGCATATTCCTAAGCAATTCCATATAATCAAGTCCAAGTATGGGTTCCACTGCTTTAATTTGCACATATGCACTTGATTCTAAATATTTTTAACATAATACTAAATGTGCTTTGTTACAGTTTATATGTTATTAAAAGCATAGTTAGCCAAGGCTATTGAGTGTACTCAAGTACTCTGTATTTTTATTCATTATCTCATAATTTAATCCTATTTACTATTATTTTTTAAATTAAACATAAAAAATAAAGAGAGGAAGCATCTTGACTAACTACCTTTTTGAGTATTTATTATAACTATTATATTCATTTATTAGAATTTTGATTCCTTCCATACTCACCTTGACTAGATATATTGAAACAATGATACATGCCATATGTAAAATATACATAGATAGTACCAGGTGGCATGTACATTGGTATATTTCGAGGAGTAACTTTATTCTGATATGTGTGTGATGCTTTGTCTATGGCACCTAAATAACTCTCTGTTTCAACAATTCTACCCTTTAGAATGGTTCCATTTTCTAAACAACGTACCAATATTTTCCCTAAATATAAAAATGGACCAATACTGATTGAAATGCATTATTTGAAGGGCAATGCAATAAAGCAGTTAATAAAGTTACCTAATAAATTTTGCGCTAATTCTTCACAGGGAGAATCAAAGAATGAAAACGGCAGTCTATTAGCACACACTTCTTTTTCCCAATCAGTTGATGGAGGATCTTCTAATTGTTTTAGTTCCTCTTTCATCAATTTTAGATCTACAACAGCTCTAGGTTTATTTTTTGGAGGAACTGTGTTTGGTTTCAATTCTTCATTCCTTCCTGTTATTCCTATACAAATTAATTATATAAATGTAAATGCCAGATATGAAGCTTGAATCTTTAACTATAAATTAACTCACGTTCTTTTAGATTTTTAAAATTAAGTTTACTTTTCTTTTTGAGTTCAGGATTGACGATATCTTCTAAAGTAGGTTCACTAAAAGGCTTCATATTATTAATAGATTTATCTTCAGGTTTCAATGTATTGTTCAACATTTGATTTTGAAGATTCTTAGCTTGTATTAAATATTCATCGCCCTAATAAAAGAATACGTTATTTAAGAAATGTAGATTGCTTAGAAAATGAATGTAAGATTCAGTGTAATTAACGAACCTCAGGATTTATTTCAATTTGATTTTTAATCGAATCACTTTTGCATTCTTCCTTCTTCGACTTTGTCTTCGAATTAGACCGTGTTCTCTTCATTGATGAATCGTAAGATACGAATTGGTACTTTATAAAATTATTCCACGTTTGTCGAATAAATTTGTCTGCAAACGGCAGTACATAGATAAACAAAATTAACGTTGAATCAGGTTAGAACGGATCGCGAAAATGAAAACATTATTTTGAATTCAAATACAATGAAGTTTGTCATGAGTAACAATTGTCAAAAATCAATGCTGCCACTACACGGTAGTGGTCAAGCAGGGAACTAATTTTCAAATATCTGTCATAGTCGTGCGTCATTTCGTAACGGTTTTTGAACGTTGTTTCTGTGCTTGAAAAATGCGCTGCAATTTTGGAAAATCTTTCCTGAACAACAGGGTAAATATTTACGCTTTTTGTACGAAAATAAAAGTTTGTAATCAACTGGTTAATACATACGATTTTCCAGCATTCTGTGATTGACGAGAGTTCTTAAACGGCATTTTACAACCAACATTTACGGTCGATTGAGGGGGAATGGCAGGTACGAAAGAAATTTGAATTCTATTTGTTTAATTAAGCGTAGATAACTTATTAAGTTATTCTATGCAAATTTTGTGGCGTTAATTACGTTTGTTTACCTATATTTAGACCTATATTTAGTTATAAATGTTGTTTCCAATGCGAGCAGTATCGTAGATATCGTTCCTCATTTCTTTACATTTTACTTTTGTTATATTTGTCATAACAATGCAAGTGAAATGAAAAACCGATATCTGCAATATGATTAAATTTTAAATACGCGTTTCATTTATTATAAAATAACAATAAAAATTAAAATTTTCATCGTCTGATGGATTCTAACCGTTACGTTCACACGAGACTACGTTGGTGAAAAGTCTTTACGTTTTCTATTACACGCGCAAATTAAGAGAAAAGTAATTACACTTTTCAACGCGTGGATAGAGATTATTTGAAATGTTAATACTGAAATACTGAGCATTCTTAAAATTTAATAATTATTAGGTAAACTTATATTCGAAATATTCACGGGAAGCCATGTTAAGATCAGCAAAGATAAGTCACGTGACTTCAGAAAAATATTAAAAAATAAAAATATTATTTTTAGAAAACCACGGCTTATATCGTAATGTTTCCTTCGAATTGAAAAATTTTGTAAATTTTAGGTTCATTTTCGGATATGCTCTGATTGCTTAACAGGTTAAAATAATATAATTGAGTTCACTGTGAATAAAATTAAGCACGAATTTATCAAAATTGACGGATACCTAAGGTCTCAGAAATTAAATATAAAAAATGCGACTATAGTTAACTGGTAACAGTTTCCCTGTACACCCTCTTCGCGTAGTACTAATTAATCATTCAAAGACCCGAAGAACGACACAAGATGAACACCGATTTCTTAACAAACGTAACTTTATATTTAAATAAATTACATTCCTTCGTGTTCGCCTACAACGGAGACGTTAATACTGCACAGAAGAACCGGTTGCATCTTAGAATCTACGAAACGTAAGTTCAAGGAGTTGTCCGCGGAGAGGATGCTGGCTTCGAATAAGGACTTCCCTCGAGGCTTCTACTTTTTATCCGACCGTTGTATTTCCATCAGGCTCTTGCCCATCGTCTCAGGTAGCAAGAAGTGGACGTAAGGAGCTAGGAACAGCATGCAGAAGCCGTAGGTCCAGAAGACGAATTTGTCGCCGACCAAGTTCAAGAACGGCTGGTAGGTCTTTGCGCTGAGGAAGGAGAGTATGGCGTTGTTCGAGCTTACGAACAGGCAGCCTAGACTCTTCAGGTTCGTCGGGAAGACCTCGCTCAAGATGGTGCTCGGGACTGGTTGCAAACCGGCGCAAACGGAGATGTTGAAGAGTATCAAGGCGATTAGGGGCAGCCATGTTAAACTGGCGCCGTCGTAGTCCAGAGAGAGGAGATGAAAGTGGAGGCCTAACAGCGCTAACGATACCGATGACCCCAACCCGGACATGATGAGGAGGCGCTTCCTGCCTAGTCTGTCGACCATCAACGTAGCCGTGGATCCTGCCACGATCGTCGCTAAACCGAGAATCGTCACCGCCAGACTCGGCTTCATGTTGATCTTGCACTTCGTCACGATTATCTCGGCGTACGCGAACATAGCGTTGTACCCGCTCATGTAGGAGAAGGCGTAGATGCCCAGGACGAGCATTGTTCTCTTGAGGTTGCCTGGAATCGAGGACAGATCGGTTACACTTGTCTCAGTGTTTATAGGACGTCATTGTTAACGCTAGGACTACCAAGCACTTAAACTGACTTTTCCAGAATTCTTTGTAAAGCTCATAGCTGTGTGTTTATAACGTATAAACTTTCTGTTCGAGATAAGTTGAAGCAGCGTCGAAGGGAATTGTTAGTAAATAAGCTATCTTAAATGGACAAAGGGTATATCCTTTTTTAATAACCGATCCCTTAAAAAGACGCTATAAAGAGAGAGATAGAGAGAGATAGACAGAGAAAGATAAAGAGAACAGCTTGGCAAGAGTTTAAGTAAAGAAATCATGAATACTTGGCAGAAGGAATTCCTTCAAGTTTAGGAAAATATTAGTTCCAGCCCCGTCGACGAATTCCTGGAGCTCTCGCATCTCCGCCTTGACGTCAGCTTCTCGCCTGAACCACTTCAAGGATTCCTCGGCCTTGCCTGTATCCCCGTGCAAGAGGTAATAGTAGGGTGATTCGGGTATCAGGCTGAAGAGGATCATGAAGAGAATATTCGGGACGAGGCTCACGTACCCGAACATCTCCATGGACAGATAAGGACCCATCGCGTTGCCCAGGAACATACCGATGGAAGACGCGTTCACGTTCATGGATATCTGAAGACGTGACCACAGAGTACGACTTTATCGGACGAGAAATCTGATTGGGTACATTCGCGTTGATAAAAAAAAATATATATGTGTATATTATATATCCTCATGAAACTGTTGCTGGTTGCGTATCCTCGTTCTAAGACGAAGCAAAAGGATTCTACGATTTTCACAAGTTAGGCGCAAGTTAGATTGTCAAGTTAGATCTCTGATTCGTTGAATCATTTATCGTTACTCAGAGTTTTCTATGAGTTTACGTTACTCAAGGAATTTACCAACGATCCACGAATTCTAGGATCAGCGATCTCCCCTAGGTAGATCGACAATGCGCTCCACAGCATCCCTGTCCCGATGCCCGAGCTAAATCTGGAGGCGTAGAGCCACGGGACCGTTGTGGCGCAGATATTGAGCACCCAGCTCGTGGCCAACGGCACGCCGCTGAGCAGAAGCACCATCTTCCTTCCAATGCAGTCTAAAGATGACCGTGTGACATGTTAAAGTTACAGTTCCCTGAGAACAAGATCACCACAACTCAGTACTGATGATCGCTAATTGGATCATTGAGACATTCTCTTGCTCGACACTCGTCGGATCTTAAGAGGGGATGATCTCGATCTTGTAGACAGTGGTACAAGATGGTGTGCAATGTGGAAAACTTGCAGGAAATTGATGATCGGAATCACCTATTTCCTTTAGGCTTCTAAGACCGCATCCCTTAAGAGTCCTAACGGGCGAGGCTGAATTCACTCGCGATTGACGCGTTCTGGTGTAATTCTATCGCTTCGATGATGGATCGAAGCCGCCGTTTCTCGTTTTCTACGTACCGGAATCTCATATCACAGTTTGCTACGAGTGCTGAGTCGTGGCTGCCTTGTTCTTATTGAATTCTCGACGAACAATGTTGTTCGCCATTGTTTGCCTTGTTCGGTCGCCTGATCGCGTGCTGTAAGAAAGCATCGAACGGATCAACTATCCGTGAGTTCAACGTGTTCGACGGTGGTTAAGTAGGTTAATTCAGTGGAGGAACGTGTAACAGGAGTTCTGAAAATTTGTAGCTTATTTATAGGCGAGAGGTCAGTACGTAGTTTCCTTTTTTCAATGATCTAATCGATCGATGTACAATTTAGCTTCATCCACTGACCGTTTTCTGCACTTCAAGGAATCTTCGTCCGCAAAGGGTTAAGTTGAACGTGGTCGGAAGTCAGGATTTATATTCGAACGGGTAATGCCCAGGGAATTCTTCAAGTTCACGGGATTCACTAGGTCGCGGGGCTGAGTTAGCAGGGGATGGCCAGACGAATTTTCTTCGCGAGGAATCGAGCTTACCTTGACACAGTGCGGCGAGCAAAGCGCCGGCCAGCCGGCCAAGATTTAAAAGGGACGCCACCCAGGACACTTCGGTGTCTGTCAGTCTCAAAGGCACGGTCGCTTCCGTTGATGTCAGTTGAGCCAAGTACGGCGATGCCCAGCCATTCGCGAGACCACTTCCGATAACGGCTAAGCTGACTGTCACAAACGGCCATGAAACAGTTGTGTCAACAGACGCGAGAGTAATTTCATTAGCTCATTCATAGACATAGGTCTACTAGCATCATACCGGTGCACGCTCGAACGGAACATCTTGATGCACTAGCGTATGCATTGCTCTACCATGAACCGTTCTAATCTTAGTAATAACACTATACAGACCGGACCCTGACGCCGGAGAGACGTAATGAAATTTCAGTTATCAGCTCCTTTTAATCTAGCGTCACCAATTTTCACGAATTTCTCTATCATTCAGATACATTTCTAGTTATCCCTCACGTTACCAGCTCTCTGGGTACTAATATCTAAATCGCTCAGAAGCCAATTTAACATCGGCTTCTGAACCACTCATGTAACTCCATTTAACTTTCACGTCAGCTTCCCTTCCCAAAACAGAAAGAAACTTATGCAAATGCAAACATTTCGATAATTGACGCTGCTAACACAAGGGTCGCTACATCCGTTCATCTAAATCCCCGAAGCAAAAGACGCCAAGAGGCGTCCGCCGTCGACAACGCGTTAAATCTACTCACGCGTGAACGCGGTCAGCCACTGCGACCAAATAGCGGATTTTTTTTCCTCGTCTTTCTCCGGTTGCTCGGTGTCCATGTCGCGCCTGATATTTTTACGGGGCGCGGTTGCAAGGATCGTACGCGGCTGTTGGATGCGAGTCGCGGCTTCACCGGCTCATTACGGCGAAACTTATACCCCGAAGATGCGGTTCGCGATCGAAAAATTTGCGTTCCGATAAGACCCGTGATGTATTTATGCCCCGGTTTGCGCGCGAGCCTGATACTGTTCGCGATGCAGCCGCGTGCGGCACGTGCACGGAAAAAATCCGTTATCATCGGTGCTCCTCTCGCGGCTGTATTGTTCTTGTCTTCGGCAGTGGGACCGAAGCGGTGAAATAATTATTGACAGACACGTGGCGAGGTAAACACCGTCTAGTGATTCATTCGTCGTACGTTCCGCGTTATCGCCCGAATCACGCCGAAAAAACAATTAACGGCTGCGGTGACGCCGTCACATTGTTTTGCCGAGATATTTATTGGAGTTGCGCGTGCGAGATTGACGCTAAGATGGTGGCCCGTCGTCGTAAATCAGCTCCGCGATCGAGAATCAAACGTTTCCGTGGAAATGCTCGGAACCGCCGGGAATAACAGCGCCACGGTCGATTTTCCTCAGATCATTGGAGTTTCTTGGCTTAGTAGTCAAAATCTAGAGCTACCAGCAGTTGAACTGAACTTTTTTCATTCTTTTCTGTGGAATGTAGAGTGGATTTGTTATGATTTCAATTGAGTTGTGTTGTAGTTTGTGTATTACCTATGTGATTGGTTGGATAAATAATTTGAAAAAGCTTTTATCTTTTTAATATTAGAATAAGTGATTTTGAGTCGATTGCAGTTTTACGTTCTAGCGATAACAGCTTTCAAAGAGACATGTTTGATAATTGTATTGTATATTTTAGGTGTTTCGTTAATTTGGTATATCTTTGGGAGAAGTTGTTGATGATTTTTGATGGTTGGTTGTTTATCAGAAATAATTTGATTTGTTTCAGGGTATAAATCGTTGATAACGAGGAAGAATCAGCCGCCATCGAGAGAAAGGATGTTACGTGAACCTTTGAACGTTGTCTCCAACAAAATCCGTCTTCGAGCGGGTGGGAGGTAAGTGAATTTACATTCGGAAAGGACAATTTTGATCGTCGTCAAATATGTTTCTTTATTTATTGAGATCGCCATTGAGAAATGTACTGTTCAATACAAAGCATATCACGCGATGTTGTATTATAAATATTTGTAATGCTGCATGATGAAACGTTGCTGGCAGTAAACAGAGCGTGAAAGAGTTATTAATGTCACAACTGTCGCCGCCTCGTTGTCAGATAGACTTCTTGCCTGCAACCGTAAATTTGGACAAATGTAACGCGCTGGATATCAAAAGCCTGAAAGACTCTCGTGACTCGAGTGACACTGATAATAACAAACAAGGAAAATCAGAGGACGATTGTAGTAAGTTTCTGAACCGATCAAATGCTCGGCAATCACTGTGACACATCGGTTTTATGGTGGAATTTTACTTTGAATTCGAAAGTCGCCAGAAAAGATATCAGTAAAGGGATGAAACAGCACAGAATTATATTTTCGAAACAGAATGATAAAAACAGAGAACCGAGAATTTATTTCTTTATCGGGGCTAACCTTTAATAGCTTAAGTACGTTCTAAAAACTTGAAATTCATTTGGAATATAATAATAAAGCAGAAAGGAGAGAAGAGAAAGGAGTGAAATGTTTGAGTTGCTTAATGAGCGATCGTAAATTATCCCTCGACGGTGAATGGCTGAGGAATCATTTCAAGTTACCTTTAAAAATGGCGATCAAGGAGATAGTAGCAAGAAAGCCCGATGATCCAGTCAATTATCTTGGATTTTGGTTGTTACATTATAGAACGTGTAATGAGAGGAATCAGTGGCAATTAGAGGCGGATAGAGAACTTGAATATTATCGGTCACTTTTTCGTGCACCACCAGTATGTATCATTAATAAATATTTCGATTAGACTAATTGCTATTATTTAGGAAGAAAATTATGCTAGATGTAAACAACAAAACTTTCTTTGGTATCGCGCGGTTTCTCTTGCAAATGAAAAAAGAATACTCAAGCTTCTTAATTTTTTTCTTTTATTACACAGTTAAATATTTGTTCTTCTTCGCATAAGTAGCTCCTACAGCTAGAATATGTGGTAATCACGGGCGAAGAAAAAGTAGTTTAACGTAACGTTCCAGACGGTTGAAGAAGAACAAGTTTCAGTGGACAGAGGAGAGGAAGAGGAATTATCGCGAGACTGGAATTTTAAATATTACAAACCCACGCAAGACGTAGCGTAAATATTTGATTATGGTGTCGCGTTATGAGTGCTTCAAAGGCTTCTTAACTAATTGACATTCGAGCGGAGTATTTATACTCTTCAAGATCTGTATGACGCCGGCTTTTTTCATTCCATTACTCTGGTTCTATTTAACTTATATCAAGCGAACCACACTCGAGAATGAAGAATCGCGAAAGGTACACAGCCGGCGAACAGGTTCCTGGGAAAAGATGTTAGTAAAGTATACAAGAAAATAACATTACAAAATACTTTCAAAACTTATCCTTTTATTTCATTATTCAAACAGATCGAACTTTCCGCTGAAAATCTTGATTATTTCGAGGAAACCTCGTACCGAACTCCAAAATCTTGTTAACGTTAAAACTCCTGGAACTTCTAAAAGTAATATCCGTTCCCTCTAATTTCCAACGCTTGCAAAAATTCAAAGTCTCCCAAAATATCCGAGGATTACACAATTATATTCCGCAAAACTCACCGAGTGTTGCTCGCACCACCTGTGGTACACGCTGATCTCTCTAACAAAATACTTGCTACTAAACCCACGTGACCAAGCCTAGCAGTGCAGGTTACAAAACCAGCGAAAGTCCAACGATACAATACCAAAACATAAAAGTCACCTACAGAAGCTACATACTCTATCAACAAATATCCATACATTTCACAACCAAAATATGACTCTTTCCACGATACTCAATGTTCCCCTAAACTCTGACCTACTCGAAACCCTCTGGCTCAAAGCATTCTGCAACAAACTCAACCGCGAAATCCCCAAACTCAGAAGCTTTTAACTCTTTTCGTATTGTAACGTCGTAGCACATAAATAATATTATAGTGTCCCTGGTTTCATCAATTCGATGAGAGTATGTTCACCGCGACCAGAATATCTTAAGGATCAACGACGTGTCAACTGCCGTGTACGATAAAGTTGCTAAAAATGAAGCAGCTAGAATCCCATATCCGCTAATTAGCCACACGACAATAATTCTCTAAAAAAGGCGCATTCGTATAGATCTCGGAGCAGCTTGAACCGAAAGCCACCCCTGTCAAACAGATCGCTGTCCGATCATAAGACACCCTCGCTCGAACCACCCCAAGAAGTTTCCGGCAGCGATCCTTAGATGTCCCAGCAGTCGAGCAAAAGCATCGAAAAGCATCGAGTTCGTTGGTGTTCGTGCGTTTCCGTGGCCGTCCGCACGGTTCCCATGCGAGGCTGCGCTCAGTCCGAATCGCGCAGCCGCCGCAGTAGCTCGTTGCGCGGTTGATCGAAAATAGGAAAGCGTTGGATGCACACCTCTGTACGTGGTTGATTTCGAAATCAGCAGCGAGATACCATCGTCCCGAGCGAGTCCCGATCGAACGGCCGCAAATGACAAGCACGATGGGACAGGTTGCCGGGAGCAGGGTAAACGGGGAGCAAAGGCGGTCGCGTGGCTGGTCGCGCGGTCCGATTGTTATTGACGCGAGGGTTGGTCGCGCGGCCATGCCAGAGGGGGTGTCCTCGGCTTAGTGCGTCAGATGGCGCGGCGTTCGTCACGGTCCACCCTGGCTGCGCTGGAATGCCCTGAACGAGGAGCCCGTCGACGCTGTCTTCTTTCGTTGGATCTTTTTTCCGCGGTGCGATCAGGTGACCGGGCCGGCAGTGTTGTTCACCGGGGATCGGTCCGATCTGGCCCGCCGATCGCCGAGCACGGGCGCGACCGTCGCCTGGTACGCGGCTGCTGAAACGACGGACGGAACGGAACGGGTTTGAAGGGACGGATGCGCCAGGCGGGTGGTCCACTTTACACGTACGGTGGCGGTGTGTGTTGTGTTGTGCACCAGAAGGCGGTTCCAGTGCGCTCCGCTCGACCGTGTTACCTTTCCGCCTGTAGTGCTGCCCGTCTGAAGGGAACGGCGAGCCCTGGCCCGAATTATCAACGCGAAACGCACGGTTCGGCGAGGATCGCGCGGCGAGCGGGCGTCCACGGGAACTAGGAACGAGAGAGGAACGGCGGACCCTGCCTGGCGACCGAGTGGAACGGGAGTGTCGTCCACCATTTTGGCTGCGCGAGGTTGCTCGATGCGTGCACCGTTGCCGTCCGCACGTTCGCCGTTTTCGAGGATTCGGGACGCGGATCCGGATCATTCGATATGCGGTGCCGCGTTTATGGCCCCCGTTGCGTGTCGTGCAGTGGACACCGTGCTGGGGACGGTTAATTGATCGGGGACGCCAGCCGTGATGCGAGGCCCGTAAATGGAGCAAGGCGAGGGCTGTTTTTCGTACGCCGAGAGCCTGTCAGCTGGTCGTCCCACCATCGGGAATCGAACCGGAGGCCCGTCTCGCGACCCGAAATGCTTCATGGTGATCGTGGATTAAGACTGCGCGGCTCGTTCCTCCTAGACCACCTCTTATAACCACTCCGGATGCAATCGGGGAAATAAGTAGGGCGCAAACCGCTGGCAGGGGTTCGCCGGACGAGTTTCGCTGAAATCTGGTTCACGCGGATAAACGTGATCCGAGATGACGGCTTGACTTGTCGCTAGGGGATACCTTTCGGGTACGTGGACCGTCAGGGGAAAGTATTCGGTGTTGTGTCGGGCTGTGCGGCAGCCCATGGAGCACTCGGCCTGTGTCTCCAATTGGAGAGATAAAAGTAGGCCGCGGACTGCTAGCAACCGTTCACCAGCAGGAATCGCAACGTCGCGGAAATTTCGTGCGAGTCAGCTAACGGGGAAAGTGGCTTGATTGTTGTTCGTCGGGGATCTTTCATGATCGGTATTTACTATCGATTCCGAAGGGAGACTGATGTGTTCGCTAAATAAGTAAGACATTCGGCGTCCTTGTGGACTGTGTGGTCCGCGGAGCACACATGTCTCCAATTGGAGAGACAGAACTAGGCCACGAACAGCTACCAGGATTTGGCGGCGGGATCGCGTCGCTGAAATTTTACTGAACTCACCGGGAAACTCATCGGAAACGTAGTTTGACTGTTATCGCAACGATCTTCGCCGATCGACACGTATTTCGGCTCAATGGATACGAGAAACTAATAAGCCAGTGTCTACTAAGTAACTAAGACATTGTCCTGTTGGACTATACAACCTGTGGACACTCGACCAGAGAAAACAACATCTAACAAGACAACATAGGAATCTGGTCCTAAGGTGACCCTATCAACAAGCTTCTGACATTTGCTCCCTGTTAGGGCTACGAACCAAGTGTCCACGGTGAACCTCAGAGATCAGCGGCGTCACTCGAAACTGGGTTACCATAAGTGCCGTCCTACCCGCTCGTTTCTCGATTCCAAGGGACTAAATGTTGCTACCTTCTTCAGCTGGCAACTAAACACCAAGCATCCAGACTCTATCCTCAAAGATTGGAATCGGCATCCCGCGTTTGGGGATCGGAAATAATTGGTACCCGACTTCAAATGGGTGTCGAGGATCCGGCAACCCGTGGCCCAGCGCATGGACTGATCAAGCTGGTAGCTAAGAGTCCAGCTGGAACGCGGGAAATCATGCAGCCGGCCATGGATGATTGAACAGCGTCTAGGATAGGGATGAAAGGTTTCTCCAAAGTGTTCCTGGATGATCGTTGACGATCTCTGGCGGGTCGCCGGTACTGTGTATGATGCGCCGTGGACTTTGTCCCGTTGATAGATCGTTGGCAAGGATTCCAAGGTGAGGATCATCGCGATCATTCGGATGAACGCCGCTATGGAGACCGAGTGACTGTTCCTTAGTGCCCACCCGGCCACCTTTGGATGGGTTCTTCTTCTAGATTAGTTCTGGATGTTCCGCGATACGCCGGTACTAGTGAAAACTGGTTCGTTCGGGTTGTGCTCTATATACAAGTGCCGCGAGAGTGTGGTGCCGGGTTTTCTTTCCACGAGGTTTGACGAGGATTACGCGTGACCGCGCGCCCTTACCCCTCATCACGTCTTAACGTGAGTATTGGTTCACTTAAGAAAAAATTGGGCGAAAGCTGGTCTGATTGCATATTCGAACTGCTGCAACGTTTATTCGATTGTAACCGCTAACTGGTACTCGAATTTCAGTTGTAGATCAGTGATAATCAAAGATAAAATGTAAGTCACAATTATATTTCGACTGTTATATTCGAATGATTGCCAGTGATATGTAATTAGACTTTACTTCGCTCAATTCTAATGGAAAAGGTTCTGTGCGATCCTACTGTGCAGAGCTGGAGGAAATCTAACCACAGAGGATCTTTTCCGCGTACTTTGATTATACTATCTGTTATGGATTAATATACGCGATTATTTACGGAAATGAGGTGTGAGAACTGGAAATATGCGTGACAAAGGACCCGGTATCTCTATTCAGAGTAATTAGATCAGGATTCCTTTCACCGGTCTTCCATCCAGCTCCGCGCAGTACACGCTGCGTCCTGAAGTTCGGGGTCGTTGACTCGTCACCGTGACGCCGCTCGTCACGCGGCCAGGTCAGAGGTCCCTTTGTGGATAATAGAACGCCTCGTTGAATTATTTCGCCGCTAGGATCGCAGTCCTACAGGGTTTGGATTATTAATACAGCTTCTCCGAATTTGTTCAGGGGATCTGTGATATTGGCTTGTTCAATATGTATGTCAAAGGCTGCCGATGTTTGATTGGCTTCTCGAGGAACAATGATTTGTGTTTGTTGTGGCTTAGGCAATCGATTGGCAATGATGAATTGTTGTTTATAGGATAGCGTGTTCTAGGTTTTTTAATTCCCTTTCGTTTCTTTTCAAGCGGTTGCTTGTTTCGCTACCTTGAACTTTTCTATACGTGTTTCATTATTATTAATAGAGTATGTACTTTTATTTCTAACGAGGCACGGCCCTGAACTTTTGGATGATAGCGAATAGAAGTGGTCGGATGCTGTTCGAAATAGTCAGAGACTCTACTGAAGTTTTGGGAACTTGTTGTATACTTAATAGAAATGAATTGTTTATGAAAATAGCTTGGAGAATTTGCGTACTGCAGATCAGACACGTTGCGAATAATTTAAATTCGATACGACTTACAATTCTCTGACACTTTTTAACAGTTTCACATGTGGTCGGCGTGTTTCGATTATTATTGGATTGTTTTTGCGATTAGTACACGTTAAGAATGTTTGTGATTGTCCTGAAGAACTTCTGTAATGTCTATAATCTTAGGAATATTAAAAATAAAACGTGCACAGCGATGTAGACAGAAATTATTGACTCGTACTACTGAAGAGTTAAAGGAAACAAGTGAAAGTGGTCTGTTCATAGCCAGACAGAACGAAGTTACTTCATCCACGTTAAAAATTGAGATTTTCCTAATAAGTGCGTTACTCGCAGTTAGTTATAATTCTAGTGAATCGGATGATTCAGTTAACTATTTGATTTTAAATACATAAAGTTGTAAATTGTTTATCGGCAAATAATTATCGAAATCATTAGTGAAACTGTCGTAATTATTGTATGCTTTGACGACGAGTACTATATATATTCTGTTTATTTGCTGTTTGTTTATTGCATCAGCAACTTTGAGAAACTAATTAACTCATGGCATACTAAGCAGGAGTACACACGCTTAACCGGTCAGATTGTAAGTGAAATAGGGTGAAACAGGAAATCTCGGCGTAACACCGGGAACACCGACAAATTAAAAATCACTACCTCAAGGCAATGTATCTGTTAATATTTACCAATACGGTTACTTAACATTTCATTACCAAGCGGCCCATAAGTTTCATTTAAACTCGCTGTTTCCGTCGAAGTTCCCAGCAGGCTTCATGCACATTTAATTACGAGTTTCCCCTGTATACCGTTTCATTTAAAAACAAATTCGTCTTGTTCCTTTAACAGCAGCATTTACAATAAATAAACATACAATTTGCACAGCTGTTATCAAGTTACAAAAATTGAAAAAAATATTATGTAGCCAGATGTAATATCAATTACATACTCCAACCACTAACAAACGAGGCATTCCGAATAATTACACACATCCCCTTGTCAATTCAATTTCAATTAATTTAAGTATCAAACCTTTTAATAACAAAATCAACTGCCAATGAATTCTCAGCATCAATTTTAATTTCCATAAAGAAATTTCAAAGAGTCACTTCAGTTCCTCGGTAGTTTGTGTTAACTTCGTGTTGTTCGTTTAACTTGTGTTAACTCACACTATTATCCTCAACATAAATCTACAACCTCTACTCACTCTAAATTCGGTTGCGACGCGTTAAAATTATTGTATCCAGTTAACTGTGTTTGACGAGTATACACATCATCGTAAAGCTCGACACGATACCAATCCTTTCAGCGATTAATTCTTTATTTTTTCACATAAACATGTAATCCTTTGTTTCGCTTTGATCTTTCATTAAAATATACTCTACGCGCATTCGTCCTGCGTTCGACGAATACACGCTCCATTTTTTTATCATATTGCGCGCAGAACGAGAGGTTTTTCCAACTGAATTCCCCTGTTAACCGGTTAACGAATACGTAAACCCCTTGAGTCGCGCGGCTTCCGGCCGCTATTTTCCTCGGGCATAAACGTTCCCGCGGAAAAGGGTCTTTAATAAAATTGGCCGTTTATCGGCGCATCGGCGAGCCTTCGTTTGTCGTTCCCGCGACATCCGCCACCGCCGCCGCCGCCGCGGCCGTACATTGAAACTTTAATACGAAATCATCGAACATGGAAGCTTGGCAGGCTTCCAGCCCCTCCCGACGGCCCCCGGGCCCCTTCCCCGCTCGCCCCCGAGCCTTTATACAGTGCCGGTTCGCGTAACACATGTTCGGCTGTGTAGATGACATACGCTGCAGGCGTAACTACCTGCATAACTGTACAGGGAACTGAATTATTGGAATTGTAAATTGAAAGTCAACGTACCCCGCTCGGTTTCTCGGCGGCGAACGCTTAGGAGAAACAATGGGGATGATTTCTTTTGAGGTTTCACGGTGCGCTGGCTGATACAGGATGTTTGGGGCGATTTTTGTCGTGTTTTTTTTAGCCGGGTCCTATTAGTTTTGTAAGTAGGACGGTATTGGGTGGAATATAAGCGTGCTCGGAGGTTTGCTTTTATTTATTTG